TGTGGCAAGTTTAGATACCACTTGAAGGCAGTCTCTGTGAGAGTGTTGGAGAATAGCTTCATTTTATACCAATCGTTGTTACTAAGCGGCCCACATTTTAACGTGTAACGGCCAATATACTCAAGAGTCGATTGGTTGCCTTCTCAGGTTGTAAAGTTCGGCACCTGAAAATTTTGGGGAAGATCCATCCAATCTATCAAATCAGGAAATGGGTGCCTAAACATAGGTCGAGTGGCCCTTTTCAAAGATGGTCCATATTGTTCTTGTATGACCTCAGCTAATTGCTCCCTAGTCATGACCATAGGCGGGACTTGGTCTTGAAAAAGAGCATTGGGCCAAGGGTTTATGTCCCTCTTGCCCCACTGGGTTCGCAACCTGAGGTGGCAAGACTTGAGGTTGAAGATGGGGAGGTCGACCACTTGGTTGGTCATGATTTCTCCATCTTGGTTACTGGTGACCAATCACTCCTGGCTCTACTAGATGGACTAGTGGTAGAACCGGTGCTATTGGTCAAGGACCATTAACCATGGGAGGTGTTTGGGCACCTCTTTCTGGTTGACTAACTTGTTAAGGAGGAAATTGGTCCCTTTGTCTATCATTTTGGTTTTCTAACCTAGGTGGCTGAACAATAACCTGCCTATCAATACGAGTCACTAAGGCATTGATCACCCCATTCAGCTATTGGAGCTAAGTATTAGTTATATGGGATGAAGCCACTAGCGGCTCCATATTTTTGTTGATTTCCCAAGCAACTTGGTGTTGGGAAGCCTCCACTCTACTTTTAAATCGTGTCACCATATTGCTGACTCTCGGCCGCCACTTGGTGGCTGGCCTGATGTCCCTCCTCATGCTCGGACCCACTTGGTGATTGAGAGTCTTGATCATGACCATAGTGACACTGAGAGATAATGGCCAAGACTCCTAATCATGGCCATAGAGACTGAGAGTCTTGGTTAAGACTCTGGATCATGATCATAGTGACTGAGAGTCTTGGTCATGGTTGGTTATAAGCTCAATTCCTTATCTCAGTCCTAACGGCCTAAGAATTCCATTCTTCTTAACTCCCGACCTTAATTCCGATCACCGTGATTAGAAATTAATCTTTCGCCCCCAATGATCATAGGCTGACCCAGAGTTCAGACCTCGGGATTTTTTACCACGTCGCATGATTACTTCGGATTATATTTTAGGTGTTAACAGGCTGCAAATGGGTCTCCACAATAAGGGTGTGTTTAGTAACCCAAAACATTTTTTGTTTTATGTTGTCAATCCTTAAAAAAGAGAAACAAACACAAAAATCATGTTTAGTAATTTGTTTTTGTTTTTGTTTCTTCTTAATGAAAAACATTTCTCATTTTTATGAAAGAAAGAGAAAACATCAAAATGATGATTCTTGTGTTTTTTCACTATAGTAGAGGAAACGTTTTCACCACTGTTTCCCTCGTTTTTTACGCAACAACTAACATTACTCTTCCATTAATACACAACCACTGACATTACTCCATTAGTACTTTTATATTCTATATATATACATTATACAAAATCTATTTTAACATTCTATATATATACATTATACAACTGTACGCCCGGTATTTTTTTTTTCTTCTTTTTTTTTTATTGTTATAAATGTATTGATTGTCGTTTGTTTTCAGATTTTTTGTTAATATATATATATATATATAATCTATTTTTATATTCTATATATATACATTATACAATTGTATGCTTATCTTGCCCTGTATATATATATTTTTTTTTCCTTTTTAGATTATATCTTTTATAATGATTGAAAGTTAGATTTTGATAGATGGATGAAAAAATAAATTAAAAAAATTTCCCAAAAAAAAAAAAAAAAAAAAATTTGTAACAAATATTTTACTAAACACCGCTTTTTGTTTTTTGTTATTAAATTGTGGCAACAAGAAAGGTTACTTAACGTTATTTTTGCTTTCTGTTTTTATTTCGAAAAACAAAATTATATTTTTATTTCTTTGCGACTACAAAAAACAAAAAACGAAAACGTTACTAAACACACCCTAAAGTGTCATGCAGACGGAACAATTCAAAGATATAAAGCCCGGTTAGTTGCAAAGGGCTTCACTCAGACCTATGGAATTGATTATCTAGAAATATTTGCTCTAGTTGCCAAAATAAACTCTATACATGTCCTCCTTACTCAAGCTGCTAATTTGAATTGGCCTTTAAATCAGCTAGATGTAAAGAATGATTTCCTTCATGGTGACTTGGAGGAAGAGGTGTATACGACTATGCCACCAGGGTTTAAGATTTCTAATGGTCAGAATTTAGTGTGAGAGCTAAATAAAGCCTTATATAGGTTAAAGCAGTCACCACGTGCTTGATTTGAGAGGTTTAACACTATTGTGAAAAGACTAGGGTACACAGAGTCAGGAAGATCATACTCTCTTCATTAAGAAGCACCAGGGGTGCACCACTGCCCTTATTGTATATGTTGATGATATTGTTATCAATGGAAATGATCCAAAAGAGATTCATCAAATGAAGTCATTCTTGGGGACAGAGTTAGAGGTTAAAGACCTCGGATCGTTGAGATACTTTCTTTGCATCAAGGTGTGTAGATCCAAAAAAGGGGTATTCATTTCTCAATGGAAGTATGTATTAGATTTGTAGGCTGAAACCGGCAGGCTTAGAGCTAGACCTATTAATATTCCCATTGAGCAGAACCATAGGCTTAATGATGTGAATGGTGACCCATGAGATGATGTGGGAAGATTTCATCGATTGGTCGGGAGACTAATTTACCTATGGATATTGCATATGTTGTTAGTGTGATTAATTAGTTTACGCATGCCCCGCATCTGTGTTACCTGGACTCTTTATGTGAGGCCGAGGTGCTCGTGTCGAAACGACACGAACACCAACTCTTGATATGGGTCGGACACTCTGTTGTGCGATCGGACACGGCGGTTCATGAAGAAAACTTGCAGATCATTTGGATCGGTTGACGCTTGTGAAAGTTTGATATTTTTTTTGGATTGTTTCTTCATAGATCGGCTACCCTTTTACTTGTTTGGAGGTTCTCTGGTTTAAAAACGGCGTCTTTGCTAAAAGCTGAAGATGATTGTGTTTCACGCACAGCCTTTGCACGCATATTTGTATAAACCAAGAATATTTTTCACACTGGATCAGTTGGTTTGTTGAAAGGCTGTGTTGCTGCCACGTGAGTCTCCACTTGTATATAATGGAGACTTTTGGACTTCAACAGCTGTTATATTAATGACAGCTGTTGTTTTGAAAAGTTGCTGACAGCTAATTTTTTATTCACTCTGTATTTAATGTATTTAAAAGATAGTGGAAGAGTAAAATAAAATAAATAGGGAAAGGGAAATTTGACACGTGGTTTTAAAGATAGTGAAAGAGTAAAATAAAACAAATAGTGAAAGGTTATTTGTCAAACGTGACTCGAGATATAAAATACTAATCTTTATCTTTTACACTTTATCCATTTAAAACTTTTTTTATAACCAAATCATCCAGACTTTTACAATTTTTTAACTTTTAGTATATAAATGTAGCATCTTATAAGTTTATTAAGATTACATGTAAATATTTTAACGTGTCCAAGTGTCTGTGCTCAATTTTTGGACACTTTTTAGCCGAGTCCCCGTGTCCAATAATTCAAAAGAATGCCGAATCCGACCTCTAGACAAGTACCTGTGTCCGACACCCGTACCCGAGTCCGGGTAACATAGCCCCGCATACACCTTGTCTTGAGGCAGCTCATCATTTTCTCCGCTACCTCAAGGGTTCATCATGTAAGGGGATATTGTTTGGCCATCATGGCCACTTACTTTTTGAAGCCTATATGGATGCTAATTGGGCAAGATTTGTGACAGATCGACGATCTACTTCAGGATATTGCACATTTGTTGGAGGTAATTTTTTTTCATAGCAAAGCAAGAAACAATCTATAGTAACTAGATATAGTGTAGAGACGGAGTTCAGATCCATGGCACATGGAGTTTGTGAGTTGTTATGGGTACAAACTTTGTTGGATGAGTAGGGTAATCCTATTTGCAAGTCAATGAAATTGTATTGTGACAACAAGGCTTCTATTAGCATTGACGCAATCTAGTTCAACATGACAAGACAAAGCACATTGAAGTCAATCGACACTTTATCAAGGAAACGTTTCGTCTTAGGCTAATTTGTACTCCATACGTCAACACACGATGAAGTTATTGATGTTTTGACTAAGGGTGTGAGCAAGACTTGTTTGCAAAATATGTTAGTCAAGCTAGGCATGATAAATATCTTTGCACCAGCTTGAGGGAGAGGGTTGTTAGGGGCTTATTTGTTACTACTTATTTAATGTTGGGGGCTTATGTGTAATTTTTGAAACTTGTTAGTATAAATAGAATGTGGTGGAAGGATGAAAGTATTCTTCCATTCTTTCTCTCTTTCCCCATCTCTCTTTCTTTTCCTCTCCTCCTCTTTCTTCTCTTCTTCATCTTCTACTTTACTTTTATTTTGGTTATCTCTTAAAGTCAACAAAGTACATATGCTCTCACAGTCTCACCGTCTAAAAAGATAAGGCAAACAGTCCAAACGTTTGAAACCTTCCATAAAATAATAGGAAATTGAGATTATCATATAGTTAAATCATATATGATCTGCAATTCAGTACCTATGGCCAAAAATTTTCTCAAAAATTTGTGGGCCCCGGAAACACAAAAAAAATAATAATTAAAGGAGTGAAAAACACTTGGCCTTTATATTGTTGTAATTCTTAATGTCGTCGTCATTGCAGACTTGCAGTTACTATGAATAAAATAATAAAATATCATAAAGAAACAGAAGGATTCATGCATGTAATTGTTTGAAAAGCTCCCTGGGATTTTAATAAACCATTGGAAACTGCATGTTCAAAAAATAAATTTGAGTCTCTAACATCCAAGAAGACATGACAAAAATCTTTTGACTATGGGAACTAGAAAAATGTGAAAATTCAATAGTCATACCTCAACTACACCGAATTGATATATAACTGGGACATAGGCTCAATCCCGAAGGCCAAGTTCAAACTCCAGCTCATCATCCTCCTCAAACAACTTTAAAAGACGAGCATACTGCTCTTCACGTTTTTTCTTCTGCCATAATTTGAAAAGGAAAAATGATAAAAACACAACTGCCACAAGCACAAGGCATATGATGACTACCCTTGACCCAGTGCCAGTGCTGGAAGTAGTGTGAGTATCAGCCTTAGTCCCATTTTTGGGATTTGATGAATCAGTTGAAAAACCTGAAATTGAGAAAATGTCTAAGAGAGACTTAAGACAACAAAAAGAATACCAAAATCAAGAACTGTAGAAGGGAGATATCTCTCAATTCTGATGGTAACTCATTTTCTAAAGGGCATACTTTAAGATGTAAGGACCATGTTTGGACAGGTCCATCATTAGCATGCTCAGCAAAGTTTCATATATATAAGCCCCAAAACAAAGTACAACCAAGACTAAAAGCATAACAGAAATTATCTTCAATTGAAGTTACTCCAACCATCTCCCGAAATGAGCATTTTTAATTCTATTCTTTCTGATCTTACCACACATCCATCTCAACATCCGCATTTCTGCCACACTTTATGCAAATGTTGTTTTCTAGCTGCTCAACATTCGGTACCATAAAGTATGGTTGGTCTAATAGTTGTTCGATAGAACTCCCCTTTCAGTCATAAGAGGATACGATTTTTATTATATGACATAAAAGGTCTACATAATTTTTTACTAGATAAATATGTTTGGTTGTTTAAAAGAATAAATGAAATATAAGAATATAAATAATTGATTTTGAAGGAACATTTAGAGAGAGATATAGACAATTATATTATACTTAACAAAGTTACGCATAAACACACTTTCTTTAGAAAGATAAATAAGGACATCATTGCAAGTTCATATAATTTTCTAAAGAAAGAAAAATATTTTTGTGCTCTGTTGGAGGAAATTTTTTGGGGAGCATTAGATGGTTATGGAGAGTTACTTTATCTCAAAATTTTCCTTTTCCTGCTATCCAAACACTTAAAAAAAAATCCATTTATTTTCCTTTACCACTAATTCCATCTAACCAAACGAAGCCAAAGGGTCTTTGATGGAAAGATGAATATTTGATAATGCTATGTATATAACTAAATGTTTAATACTATAACCCATCAGAGAAAGTGATTTGAAAATCTGAACTTTCGAAGAATATATTGAACATCCAGAGGTTATTTTTGGGTTAACTTTGAAGTTCAACCGAACTCAATACAAAAGAAACTAGGTTGTGAGCATATATGACTGGACAGCTCTCTGAGTCTAATTTTCTAACAGAACAAACGACACTCGATTCGGATTCTCCAAAAGTGAGTTAAAGCCTACTGAAAGGTGTTTTTAACTTTTTTACTAGTTGAATCTATACACTTGGAAAAAACACAAAAGTTGTCATGAAGCACTGAGGTTTCAATTTCTCTTACTTGTGATGGATCAAGGTAAGATCTGCCTCGTTCGTGGTGTTATCCGCTTTTCGTGCATCAAAGTTGAATCCTAACAGGGAATTAGAACAGCATTTTCTTTATGAAGATTAAATATGTATCCTTCAGAGTTAAACTAGTAAATTAGTAGTAGTTAAAGGTGTTAACCAGTAATTTTTAGTTTCTTTCAGGATGCCATATGCCTTGGGGGCAATGAAAAGACTAGTCCGATTTCATATTTTTCAAACTGGGTACTATCAAAATTATAACGTGGAAAGCTTCGGATCGATCTAGAAACTAAATTTTTTTATAAAAAAAATTATATAATTCAAACGGATTTTGCAAAAGAAAATCAAATGTTACAAATAGAAAAACAAAAAATGGCGTTTAAAAAAAATAATAATAAATTAAAAAACAACTCGACATGAACACACATACACAATTCAGAGAGATCTATAACGGATTTGAAAAATGCTCCAATTACAATCACAATTACAGTCACAGGCTCAATACCAATTTCATCTGAATAATTCACATTATATATATATACGCATACAAACACACATGTATTATAAAATGTAGGTACTGCAAAAATTATTGGGTAGAAGATCTGAGAAACGAACCAGGAACGAGTAGTAGAGAAATTGACAAGAAGAATAGTAGGAACCACAGCGATCTCTTCTGTCCTGAGATCTCAGTCATCTCTCTTTTCTTTCTCTCTCTTTCTCTTCTTTTTCTTCTCTCTCTTCTTTCTCTCTCTTTCTCTTCTTTTTCTTCTCTCTCTTCTTTCTCTCTCTCTCTCGCTCGCTCTGGAAATATCGCTCTGTGGAAAAACTACGCTACCGTTGGAGGTTGTGTTTCAAGTTTCGACTATTTGTATTTTATCACTCCCTTCTAACTTTTATTTTGGCAAAAGTGCGAAATACCCCTTCACTTTTAGCAAATAAACAAAATACCCTGAACTAAAAAAGTGAGCAAATTATTCATGCCAGTTCTAAAAGTGAGTACTTTGTCCCCCCTAGGTGCCGGAATCCGCTCTCTGTTCATATAATTATGCACGTGACATACTCCTTAGTCTTAATTACAAAAATATCCTCCAATATGCCATTCATGTCCTCTCTCTCCCCATATAAAGCATTTTGGCTTTCTTTATTCCTATCAAACCCATTTGCCCATCTCTCTCTCCATTGCCCATAGTCTCTCTACTCTCTCCCTGGTCAGTTTATATATATATATATATATATATATATATTGTTACATATATTAATTATATTTTATGTAATTACTAGACCATATATGAACATATTATTACTATTTTTACTCATATTGATTCTTTTTTTCTTTTTTTTTTAACCCTAGAAATTTAAGTGTAGTTCGGGAGCTCTGATTCATCAAGGAGAATCAGTAACATGTAGAGGACAAAAAATAGAAAGAGCATATGAAAATTATTCCTGATAAGCAAGATGAAAAAAAAAAAAAAAAAAAAGGGGTAACCAAGAGAAATTTGGGAAACTAAAGAAACTTAGCATTCAAACTCGAGAACAGAAAATCATAAAAACGTGAATAGCCAAAAATCTTGTGAACAAAGCACCAAAATAAAAACTTAATAAATTGCAAGAAAACTCCAATTCTATAAAGATCAAAATTCAGTAAGAGATTTGTTTGAAAATTTGCCCCTGCATTAGGACTATGGGTGCTCCAACAAACCAACTCCTTCTGCAATATATATATATATATATATATATATATATAAACCAACACCATCTCATCAACGAAAAGACAAACCTATTTGAGGATTTTAACATTTAACTTGCAGTGAACAGAAAATTAAAATAAAGTGAACTCAATAACCCAAAATCTAAATAATTAAAAAAAAAATTAATTTTTTTTAATGCAAACCAGTCTCAAACACATGAAGGTTCAAACACATATAAGCATTAAAATTGAAACCCAGTTTTGAAAATAAAAAAATAATAAAACCGAAACCCATTTGAGGATATAAGCATTTAAGTTCTAACGAACAGAAAATTAATTGTGAAAGCAAACCATTCAAAGCAAGAGATATTTGACAAACCTGATCGATTTGGCAGAGATACATATTGTTCTTGATAAATTGCAAGTGGAAAACTTTCATTTTTCTGTATGATGTACGCAAGTTACTGGCGGCAATTGCTCAATTGTTCGAGCGCAATCCAGTGGTTGTTGGTTGGTTCCTGCATATGTATTGTAGGCAGCTTTTGTATCACACACACACAAGGGCACTTATGGTACGTAGCATTCTTCTTCTTTTTTCTTTTTTTTTTTTGTATAATGAAAAGGGTTAAATAAGTAATTGTACATTAACAATCACCGGAAAGCAATTGGCGGTTTTTGTCAGGGCAAAGTGCTCAATTTCAAAAATACATGAGAAATACTTTTGCTCACTTTTTTAGTTTAGGGGTATTTTACTTATTTGGTAAAAATTCAGGAGTATTTTGCACTTTTGCTTATTATTTTCTTGCCATATCTTACTTCAATTACCTCTTTGATAGCAATTAACTTGGATAAGCAATAATGAGTAAATTTTAAAAATAGGATATAATATTCTCTTCTTTTTTTTTTTTTCTTTTTTCCTTTTTTTGAGCTTTTCTTAGGGAGGGAATTTGATTTCCTTTGTCCAAATTAGAGTTTGTTTTTTTGGGGAAGTAATTAAAGAAATTTATACAAAAAATGGAATTCTTAATTTGATTGTCTTGAATTTGACATAAGTTAATTTCACAAAAACCCATTTGTACAATGTGTTTCATTAATATTGTCTTAAATATAAAACCAAATAACTTAAATATAAAATCAAATAAAGTTAATAGGTTACCAGTGGTCCAAGATGTTATTAGCAAAGGAAAATAATGAATTTGCCATCTGAAAAGAAGGGGGAAATTGGTAATTTCACAAATCCTTCATATTTGAAAATATGATAAATTACCCTAAGAGATTAGGTCATATTTAGTTTTAATTTTCACTTACACCCCAATTTACTTTTTGGCCTCTTACACATGCAAATTGATCCTTTTACCCTCAATTTTTTACTACAAAATAAATGTAATTTTAAATGACAAAAAGGCCCCTCTGTGTGTGTATATATATACTGTTTGTAAATGCCAAAACCGTCATCACAGCCAACAAGCTCGGCTGGTCGCGGTGCTTGAACCATCAATCCCGTCTTTGATTTTCATTTTCAGCCCCATCATTGCAACTTCACACATCAAAAAACACACAAACCACAAACTCATTTTCATACCCCTCTGTGCAACTTCACACATCAAAAAGCAAAAAAACAAAAAAAACCATTTTGTATGTGTGTGTGTGTGTGTATATATATCCGGTGGTGGTAATCGGCAAGGAAATAGCGGCAGCGGCGGTAATGAGGAACGGCGGTGATGTTCATGATGAGCCGATGAGGTAGAGATTTGCTGGTTGCGTTGTACGACAGTGAAACAACTTTGGGCTTTCGCCGGCGTTGCTGATGATGGAGTTTCTGGCTCTCGCCGTCCGGTAAAGTGAAGGACTAGAGATTTGGTCAAGGACCGGAGATGGTAGAGAACTACTGTCGCTAAAGCGTGTTGCGCGTGGAGGTGCCGGCACCGAAGGTCTGTAAGATCTTCTAATCGTAGCATTGTCCTGTTCTAAATACATAGAAAACCTATAATGAATTCCTAAATTGCTGAAGAGAGAACCAAAGATTGGAGAAATTTTCCGGAGAGAAAAAGTGAAGGGTATAAAATGAGATAAGGCTTAAGTATTGTATTGGTACTGAATTGTGGGTCTTCCACACATGGGGATAAAATTTCATTCGTAGGAAAGAAAAAATCATCTTATATCCTTTTCTTTTTACCCAGTAATCTGTGACTTTTTTTTTTTGGTTGAGCAAGTGTGTAGCTTTTTACCTTTTAGCTTTGTGCAACATTAAATTCTCAGTTTATTTATTTATTTAACTTTAAAAGTGTTGCTCACCTATGATCCAAGCATTATAACTTTAGAGGATATCAGCGCCCTTGAACTCTGACAATTTTACTGCTCTCGATGTTCTAGATGTTCTGCCATGTGGAGGGAAGATAGATATGGAGATGATGATATGAGGAGGAAGAAGAGAGGAAGGTGTATTTTGGGTGGTTTGGTCACAAAAATAGTCTATGGTAGGTCAAAGGGTAATATAGTTATTTAACACCTTAAGAGTACTATGACTCCACCAAAACACAACATTTGGGGTGTAAGTGTAATATTAAACTACTAATTCATATATTAGTGAAATCTAAAACCAAAATGTTAATTTAGCTGAAAAATGACCTAGTCTCAAAAGGTCTGAATATAATTCATCCTTGAAAATAATACTACCTCGACATTCATTACATGTCAAACAAAATTACAAAAATGCATAGAGAGGATCATTCCCTATTGACAAAGAAAATGGTAGGGTTTTGATTTCTTCATTGTCCACCGAGGATTCCCTGTTAAGAAGGATCAACAATTACCATTCAAAAAAAAAAAAAAATTAACAAGAATTCAAATTTCATACGATCTACGTTGGCGGGATTCAAATTTCATACGATCTACGTTGGCGGGATCTACGTTGGCGGTTGAGGGCAAGCTGGTTGGTGGTTTGGTAACTTTGGTTGGGATTTGAGGGGAGTGGATGATTCAAATTCTAATGGGGATCTAACAAGTGACAATTGCTAACCATTTACCAGATTGCTTTCGCTTCTGGGCAGAAGGGAAATGTTGTTAGGGAGTTGAAAATTTTGAATTTGAATTTGAATTTGGGAGCCTGGAGATGCGTGTCCTCCAGACACCTTCATGGGGTGGAGATTTGGTTTTTGTTTAGCCCCGTCTAGGTCTGCTCGAAGTGCAAGGTCTGCTCGAAGTGCATGGACCTTGGTTACCGAGTTCACCCCGATGACGGGAGCTTCCAACCAAATTGGTTCCGTCCAGTTCTGCTCGAAGGGCATGGACCTTAGTTACCGACTTCACCCCGATGATGGGAGCTTGCGAGCAAATTGGTTCGTCCCCAAATATGCTACGAGGCAACTAGTTTTGGCTCGAAGTTAAGCGACCAGTTTCTGCATGTTCACCTGAGATTTCTCGGGACTCCCAGGCGTTCCCATAACCATTTATCTACTATTCTTCTTGCAACAATTTCTGCTACCTTCTCACCTTTACTGTAACATGACATACTGCATACATATTGAGAAGTTGAAAGAGAAGAAATGATACAAAAACAGCTAACAGAAGTTAGTTAATTGCAAATTCAAACACACTCTTTTATCCAAAGAGTATCTTTGGAAATTCAAAATCAAAATTCATATATAAAATTTGGTGATCTTGTTCTCGTTTACAACCTGTGGGAAAGGTCAGAAATCAGAATATTCCATACCATCAGTTCATACCATATCCCACAATCTCCTGAAACTTAACAATAAAAGTCGTACTATTTTTAAATTAATAAGGCCAAAAATTTGGTTATGCAATGCCATTTAAACAAATAAAAGATAGTTTCATTCAGTTCGAAACCAGGAATAAAAATAAACTCTACCACACAAAAAAAGGACAATAACATGGCAAGAACATTAACCATCTGTTGGGGATGGTCATCACTTGAAGCACTTGGCGTCCAAAAGAGCCTCTCCCTCAAAAGGCTCTTGATCTTCAATCATCTGACTGACACGTTCTTTCTGGGCTTCATCTGAGATGTCAACCTTCACCCAATCATAGAGCTCCATGTCATAACACTCGTCAAGCACAAACTTAGGAATTTCTTGGCCACGGAATAGCCACAACCCCTTCACCTTGTATGGCGGCTCTGACCCAATCACTAGCATCTTCCCAAAGGCATACTTGCGGGCCAGATCCATCCGCTGAAGAAACCCACCGATCTTATTCATAGTGACAAAGGAGACTGTATTCTCTTCATTGTACTTGTAATCACAGAACCAAAGAGAGTAACCCTCGGGATCGTACATGTCCCAGAAACCTGCAAAAAAGACCAGAAGACAGGACAAGGATATATAAGAGTGCTCATGCCACTGCGATGTTAACATTAGGAGCAGTAGATAAGGGTCTTAAAAGCATGTTTGCCAAGGACAATAGTATGTTCAAAGTTGGTTGACAACAAAAGCCTTGGCCACAACCACTAAATTAAGTTTCAATTTTAAGTTTAATTTTTTTTTTTTTTTTACAATATGATATCATTAAAGATTCTCAAAAAGGAAAGTGAACCCAAAAGAATACAAAGGACGCCCAATTACTCAATTATTTTGAAAAGTAAAAGAATAAGAGGATATACCTTTGATTGCAACCTCGCGGAAGTTGGTTTTGGTGTTTGAGTATAGCCTTTTCCACTCATCCAGTATCATTTTACTTGGGGGCAGCAGATCGAGAGGATTCCTAGGTTTGGGCTTTGGTGCCTCTTCCTCTTCATCAGCAGCTTCAGCTTTGGGCTTTGCAGGCTCCTTATGGACTTCTTTCTTGGCTTCCTTAGGCTTTGATTTAGCAGCTTCTTTTGATTGGGCTGGTTTTTTTGCTGCCTGAACAGGTGGAACCTTTTCAGCTTGTTTTACCACGCCCAATATCTTGCTGAAATTTGGTTGATTAACCATAGTCCAGAAATATCTCTCAACGTGAGGAAACTCTGAGGTGAAGCTCTTAGTCATGATCCCAGTGAATCCCCCATACAAGTTACATGTCATAATAATGTCAGCCAGGGTCACAGCATGCCCAACCAAGAAGGTGTTGGAAGCAAGATGAGCGTTCAAAGCCTCAAGAGCTCTCTTCAGGAAAGAAATAGCAGCTTCCTCGGCCTTCATTAACAAAAATACAAAAAAGTTGAGTACGATTAAAGGGCACTAAGTTGAATGCAAATAGACAGCAAATTTGTGGAGTAATAATGAAAATTAAAGGAAAGTGATACTCGCACCACCTAAAAGTACTCTACTCTCACTCCACTAGTTTTTTTTTCCTAACGGAAATGACATGTTTGTCCCTCAAAAGCACTGTCACACTTCACTGGCACTCCATAGGCTCACTCAATTTTAATTTTTGAGACGCAATTGTGCCATTTCCTTTAAGGAAAAATACCAGCAAAGTGTGAGTGCTCAAGGGAGATTATAGCATTGCACAAATTAAAACTTTCTGTTCAGTTGAATAATGCCTTTTTTGTACAAAATAATAAAATATGAAAATAATATTGTAAACTATTTTGAAAACTTTATGTCGGATAAACGAATCCCATGGATAACAAGTTTTTCTTACTTCACAACTTCAACCACCAATATTTTACAAAATGGACAGAAAAACTGACAATGGACATTTCATACCCTTCTATACAGTATAACAACAAAATACTTTCTTCACATTCCATATATCTCAATTATTTTCACTCTTCAAAATCCACTTCCTAACCAAGTGTATAAGATGTGATCCTATACAAATAATAGAAAATGCTCAGTCAGAATGCAATGAAATAATGACCTTATTTCAAATTCTATAGAAGGACAGTGCAGAACTATTTCTAATGCTATATGAAACGCATTATCACATTGAAACAATTCATTTTTATGCAATGTGCAAACATCACAGAATGCATGAAGGAATGAAATAATAATATCGAGAAAACATGACAACAAAATAACGAACTAACCGGAGGAAGGTATACAATAAATCCCAATCTGGGATAAAGCCATCTGGAGATATTAGCATCAATCTCCAATGATGCAAAGTCGATCCACTGCTCAATGTGTCCCTGGAATAACAAGAACACAATTGAAAATAGAAGCACAAGTGGCAAACATAATAAATTGCTATTCCTCTGATGAAATGGGTGGCAAACCCCAGAAAAATGAAACAACTAAAAATGATTCAAGAATAATACTCTTACATATTCTATAAGTGAAGAACCATAAAGAGGATTGTCAGGCTTCAAGCGAGTAACTGCAGAAATTAATACAACAGCATTAGCATCACTAACACTGCTAAGAGGAAAAGAAGGAAGCCGGGAAATGTCTCACCATAACGTGCTATCGCATTGCTCTCAAAAACGGGACCATCGGGAGTTTCCAATACAGGAACCTACACTTCAAAAACAAATTTATTTTTAAACAAGCTATATAAAATATAACATTTGACTGCTCAAAATAATTTATCTCGATGTAACATTGTACCTTCCCAATAGGATTCATCTTAAGGAACTCGGGAGTTTTATTAGAGACACCCATTTGAAAATTCTGGACCAGGTCAACTTGGACACCTGAGTACTCTGCGGCAATAAGTGCCTTGAAAGCATTTCTGTTTGTGTCCCATGAATACAAGACCTACAAAAACCATCAAGCACAGATGCATCATTAAATGAAGATCTCCATCCAAATGATAAATCGTCTAACTATGCAGCCATGCCAGCCTGCCCGCTCAACATAAAATCTTTTGCTCAAAATGAAACCAAAACACAATTAATGTTCCAGTAAAAATACTATACTTTCAAAATTGATGAAATGTAAAAACTTTGTCTAAACATTGATTCATCTATCACCAATCCTACAGAAACATCACATAATAAAGTTCCTATTTGACATAGAGCATTCAAGTACTTCATTTGTTTTGAAGCAATAATATAAAACAAGAGTTTTATGTACCATTACATTTAAAAAAAAATATTAAAAAACCTTGAATATTGAATATACTCTCTAAGTGCATGTCCAATCAAAAATGTCAAACATAAAATAGACATTTTGAGTGTTCGGTTTTCAAAACAGGTACTTGACTTCACAACATTTTAAACAGTCCACATAACATAGACACCAAACAGCACACCCTAATTAATAACAGAAAATTTTTAGTAAGCACCAAATAATAATTAATAATTTAATATACAAAGTAATAAGATCATCATCATCCTTGCCTTAACTCTCACACGAATGGGGTCAGCGACATGAACTCTCTCTCCCCAATCTTTTCTATTGCATGTACTTATCACCAAAAAAAAAAAAAAATTCTTTTCTATTACATGTCATTTAACCTACAATGTTTAACTTTTTAAAGTAATTTTTAATAACCAAATCCCATATTATTTTTAGTCGTCCCCTCCATCTCTTACCTCCTATTACAACTAGTCGTCTCGTTTGAACAGCGCATCTAAAGTAATAAGATATGGTGTATAAAACACAACACTAGTAGTCTAGTAGTTAGCAATTTAGTAAATAACTAAGTAGGGTATATACTAAATTATTAATACTGTAATACTGATCATTAATTACTAATTAGTAATGCATAGGACTTATCCAGCATAATTCCACATATGTAAGGCGCTAGTAGGGAAAGAGTGGAGATAAACCTAACTTCTAATACAATTTTGCAAAAAAGTAGTTGCTCTCTAAACTCAAACTCACGTTCTCATGCTTGTTAGTCAAAAAAAAAAACCATTGTACCAAACAATAATCCTTATTACTTACTTAACGGGAAAAAGAACTTGCTACTTATTAATCAATAGATATAATTATATATATTTATCACAGTACCAAACAATAAAGCGGTAGGACCAGAAAACATACCTATTGAGTCATAGAGAACTTTAGGAAAAATAGAACTTGAATGGTTAACAAAGTTATAAAAGAAGAAAGAAGCCAAGTGAATAGAGAAAAGTATTGTAGTACCAACGTATAAAAACAAAGGTGATATACAAAATTGTGAAAATTATATAAGAACAATATTAATGAGTCATATGATGAAATTATGGAAAAGGTTAATTGAACAAAGACTAAGGAAAGAAGTCTCAATATCTAATAATCAATTTGGATTTATGCCAAGTAGATCAACTATAGAGGCTACAATCTTGCAATTAATAGAAGAGTGTTAGAGTAAACAAAAAGATCTACACATGGTTTTCATTGACCTAGAGAAGGCACGTGATAACCAAGGGACATAATTTAGTGGGCTCTACAAAGAAAACAAATCATCAACATACAGTGGGCTCACAAGATTGAGATGCAGGAAGGGCAACTCCTTTGTCCTTGTCGTTGAGAATGTGGAGGGAGCAGAATAGGAGATTTATTGAAAGGGAGGAAACTCCCCTTCCATCTTTGAAAATTGCATCTTGGGCTCTCTACTTTTTAAATCAAAGAGCGGAATTGTAAATCATTGGGGAGATATTTGATTCTGTAAATAGTTTGAAAGTATAGAGCATCTGGTTAATTGTTAGGTATAGGGCCATCTAGGCGCACTTCCTTTTCGAGAGCATTTAATGAACTATAACAAATATATATAAAAAAATAAAATAAAAAAAGTTAACTTTCACGATTGGTTTATAAAAACCAAATAGTATAAACATGCTTCACCAAATAACTTCTATACATTTTTAAGCTCAAGTACATTTGGGATTATTAATAAAACCAAGATAAAGAAGTAGTAAGATCTTATTGATAACAACATAAAATTCAATGTAAAGTTCATTACACATAGCTCTCAACTCACCCAAGTTTTTTTCCAACCACCTAGGGTCGACTACAAAGTTCATTACACAGACAACAAAAAAATCCAAAGCCTTTTTCCAACTACTTGGGGCTACATGAACCTTACGTTTCCATTCCTCTCTATCTAAGGTCATGGTATCGATCAAACCACATGTTATCGTATCCTTCCTTACTAACTCTACCCACGTTAACTTTGGTCTTTCTCTCCCCATGTCTTACTTGCACCTTTATAACAAAAGAGACACGCAAATCTCACATTACCTAATCAAATTTGAATAATAAAAGAAAAATAAGAAAGATGGGACACCACAAAAATTACAATCCTGGAACTGGTCTAATATCTCACCTATTGTCCTTCTAAGTAACAAAATGAAAATCTTAGAAAAATTAGAGAAAATATAAAATTAATAACATGTTCGGAATGGATTAACCGTCATCATATTCCAATTTTTGTTTCTTTTTTCTAATATTTCCCAAGTATGAAACAAAACAAAAGCAAATTACATCATAAAAACAAAGAAAAAAAAAAAAAAGAAAAAGAAAAGAACTACCTAAATTACAATACACGGACTCAAAAGATTCATATTGCTATGTAATTTCCCAAAACCAACACAGAACACACAAATCTGTTTGGATGCCCCTTCTCTTCGAATGAGGCCACAGGACAATGGCAACCGTCTTTAAAAGAGGATGACAAATTATCAATTTTTTTCCTTTGCACCAAAATCATAAAGAATCACATACAAATAAATTCACAAAAATCCTCTATTTTTTTCATGGGTCAGATCAGGATGATGAATTTCACACTAAAATGCCGTATCAAAAACAGAAGACGCCATTTAACTTTGAGGAATGTCCAAACAGACCCAAATTCAATCTGTTTTATTAGATAATCTGGTTTATATTAGTAGACGCACAAACAGATACAGTACAACATATTTTTAAAAACCAAAGATGTAACTATCACAAACTCACCAGAGCCATTTCTTAACAGAGAGAACGTTCGCTATTGAATGTCAGATCTGTACACAAAACCACAAACACAAACAGATGAAAAACAAATCGATACGATCGAGGGACGTTGCACAAGAAACAATGAAAAATGTATCTTAGATATATATGTATATACAGTCAATAGAGGGAACCTAAGAGTACGAGCGTTCTTCTCAGAGGACTGAGGTGGCGAGAGAGAGAGAGACAGACGGACAGAGATGAAGTTAGGGTTTTTGTAGAGAACGAGAGGTTAAAAGGAGGAGTGGACTCCTTCTTAATCTCGGGTTAGGAATGACAACTAAGGTGACTATTGGGCTTGGTCTTGGGCTTGGTCTTCTTGTTTAATATCACGAAAACTAGATGGACTGATATTAGAGAGGCCTAATCTATTAGATTTATCTTTCCTTGCTGCCCTTTTGGGCTTTTATCCAAAAACCATTTTATATATTAGGGTTAATTACACTCACACCCCTTAAGGTTTGTTCTATTGACAGTCATATGAAAATTGATCACTTTTTAAGCATTCACACCCCTTGTAATAAATTGCAGCCAAGCAGTTCCTAAAAAAGTAGGAAAAGACATTATTACCCTTTAAAAAAATAATAATCCTTGATTAAAAATATGAGAGTATTTAAATGACTCAAGTACCCCTCTTTCCCCTCTTTCTTCACACACCGTATTTTGTACATTTACAGACACACACATAAATATAATACGCTGGATCCCTACAGCCTCCGCCAGCATTTTCTAGGTTTGGTCCTCTTCGGCTCCGGCGTGTTGGCATTCGCACCTCGCCGGCTATCGCTTTTCACCTTTCCTGCCACCACATCACCACCCTTTTAAACCCACAACAATCCCAATCAAACCCATGACGATCTCAAATCATAGCCACCACTCTCTCTCTTTAAATTGAAAATCAGAAGCAAATCAGAGCCGCAAGTATATTTTGGTCTTGCGTACTGTGTTTGTCATTGGAATCTGACCAGCTCAATCGGAATTCGCCGGGAACGTACTGCGGCTGGACTTGTAATTTTTATTTTTTTTTGGGGAGCTTTTCTCACCTACAGGTCTCCTAACAATAAATTGAGGCTTGGCACCAAGACCATTCGCTGGAGAACAAGAATTGAAGACGAGGTGACCCTACATGGTTTTGTACAAATTTTGTTTTGGTTTTGACAATAACCCATAGTTTTATCAAATACCCACCTCCAATATAGTTTATGTATATATTATTATATTTTTAATATAACAAATTTGGATTGGTGTTGTGTGAATCAAATATCACACAAAAAAAAATAATAAATAAAAATAAATTCACATTGCAAGTGGTATTGTCCCACTTTCCTCTTTTCATATTATATTATATTGTACTAAATTTAATATTACTACTACTAACCTCCATTCACATGAACCACCACTTCCATACATGTATGTGTGTGTGTATATATATTACAGTTATATATAATTAATTATACTTTCTTTTTTCTTTTTTTGGCATGAAAGGGTAGTTTAGTTAAATAAATTGAGTTGTAAAGGTTAAAAAGGTAATTTCATAGTCCAAATAGGTTAACTATCAAGTCAAAGGACAATAATGTCAATTCATCATGTGCAGAAGATCAGAGGGGTGTATTTGTTAACTTTATGAAACTTGAGGGGTGGTCATTGTTAAAAAATAGGTCAACTTTCATTTGATTGTCAATAGGGCAAATCTTAGGGGGTGTGAGTGTAATTAACCCTATATATTATCCTCCTTTTCGAGCTAATAAAGTCTCTCATTTACCATACCTCCTAAGAAGAACATATACGAAGAAGGGATATGGGATGTCACCACTCATACACAATTATAAAATAAGTTTCAAAAATATTTAGACATAGATGCAGTATGCGTTAAAAAAAAATAAAAGAAAAAATTAATATTATACATAAAATGTTAGCCTTTATTCTTCAACCATAAACTACATATACTTGAAGCAATTATGCAAAGTATAAGAAGCTCACTTCTATCATTTAGGCAATCGCGTATTGCTACTTTACTAGTTTACTTTATGAACATCCATTCATTTAATCGTCTATTAACATTCAAGGAGAAAAAGTTCATTTTCATTACTATCATTTATACAATTAAGCGTTGCTAGTTTGTTACACAATCCATTTATCATTTGTTATTTATATTTTCCATCTATTATCATTAAAGGACCATTAAAACCCAAAGTACATTCCACATAACCATCATAGAAAAATAAGTTCCTTGAAGACTATGGAAAAAGATATAATAATAATAAAATGTATACACGAATTGAATTGTAGTTTTAGAATCTCATCCAATGAAAAATATTAAAATTGCATTTTCTGCATTAGTTTAGGAAACTTTTTTTTTTTTTTTTCTTTTTTCATTACCATTAATTGTGTTCGACATAAAATGAAAAAAAAAAATGGACCATGAAAATAAATGAAAAAATGTTAAGAAAAACACATTGATTTTGCCGCGTATAGTATTAAACAACTAAATCACAATTGATCGGATTGAACAAAGATATTGATCTGAAGTCAACAGAAGTATTGAACAAGAAAAACTATTTTGATTATATTCTGGTTTTTCCTTCGATTTGGTATTGATTTTATTCGTTTGTACTCTTTAAATTCTAATTTGTTAGAATATTGTTAGTTTACTGTATATTCATATGATTATATTGTTTCAGCTATAGTGCTTTGAAAGAATAATCGAAATAGAGAAGAAATTGAATATTATTTTCCCACACTTTACATCACTGTGCAAACATTGTATATATAGATTACATGTATAACATTCCCATGATTGTGGGGATTTCCAAATTATGTACAGCAAGATTTGTGGAGACAAATCCCATTAGTCAAACCCTTGATTACAGAAGTTTCCAATATAATTTGTAGTTGAATTGGCAAGATTTGTGGAGACCAAATCTCATCTGTTACTTGTGTGGGAAATCAATTTTAAATTTGAGTCAAAATTTCCATTACACCCCCACAAACTCATTAGTCAAGCACAGATTGAGTTTGTTCTTTAGCATGTTATATTTGCTAGTGTTGAGCCCCTTTGTAAAAATATCAACCACTTGATCAATCGTAGATATGTATCGAATATCAAGTTCACGAAGTACTACTTTCTCACGAATATAATGATAGTCAACCTCAAGATATTTGGTTTGAGTATGAAAAACAGGGTTGGAAGCAAATGAAGTAGAACTAATGTTATCATACCAAAAAAGGGGTGTTTCTGTAAGAAGAACCTGTAGATCCCTAAAAGGTATTCGAAACCAAGAGAGTTTAGCGGCAGTGAGTGCAAGCTGTCAATATTCTGATTCGGGGCTTGATCTAGAGACAGTAGATTGCATTTTAGCACTCCAAGAAATAGGATTATATCTTAAATAAACACAGTAGAAACTTGTAGGACTATGATCTATTAGACAACCAGCATAGTCAGCATCCTGGTTGGAAAAATAGCCCATGAGTAGTGTGCCTTTTATGTAGCGAAGAATAAGTTTTACAGCAGTCCAATGGACTGTTGTAGGCTTATACATAAATTAACAAACTTGATTAATCGCGTAAGCTAAGTCTGGACGGGTGAGAGTTAAATATTGGAGAGCACCAGCGACATTACGATATGCGGAAGGATCTATAAGTGCCTCACCATCTGTGAGCTGCAACTTTGTGCCAGTGACAACCGGAGAGGAATATGGCTTCGTTGTTTCCATGTTTGTGCACTTTAGCAGATCTAGTGCATATTTTGTCTGCATAAGATAAAATTGTCCTTTGGAGAAGGTAACCTCAATTCCTATAAAAGTAATGCAAGCTTGTAATACCCCTAATTTTAAAAGGATAGTCTCGGCATTTATTTATTTGTTTTATTTGCATTTTTTAATTTTTTAATTGATTATTTGTTTACGTGTTTAATTTAATTAAGTGGTTAAATGTAATTTGTGTGCTTATTTGATTAATTTAAATTTAAATGCTTTAACTGAATTATTTGTTATCTGATTATGTGTATTATGTGTAATTTAATTGGTTAAGATTTAAATGTTTTATTTTATATTTTATATTTAAAGGAGTTGGGTTATGGATAGTAGTAATGGACCACCCAATGGGTTGGGTTGCATGTACTACTTGGATAGGAGTTGAATGGGTACGGATATTGACCCATGGAGGGATGTAAATATATACATGGTTATATATATATATATAGGAATTTATTTAATAATGAGTAATTAGTATTATACTAGGATAGTAAGATGCATATATATAAGTATAAATTATATATTATAAATATATATTTATGTAGTCACGTACAATATATTATATATATGTATTATGTGCTATTTTCCTTTTATTTTATTTTCATTCTCTCATTATCAGACTTGGATGGCAATTAGGACTAGGGTTGGAAGTAGTCTATATATATAAGTTTAGAGGAGGCTAGGGTTATATTACGTGATATATTCCTAAAGAGAAGGAGAGAGAATTAACAGAGAGTTGAGAGGGAGAACAGAGAGAGAAAGAGGAGATTCAGCCAAGGGGTTCAAGGCCGAACCCTAAGGGACGAAAGAGAGGGTTGTTCGGGGCTAACACTGAGTAACAGAAAGGAGTCTTGACGGCAGCCAACAGCACCGAAAAATTAGAGAAGAAGGAGTTTGAGGTTTTGAACCAAAAACCTTAGAGGCAAGTTCTTCTTCTAACTCCTTCCCTTAGACTTGTGTTCTATACATCCCTAGGTTAATTCCAGGATTAATCAGAGATTAAATTGATCATGTATACATGTTTAAATTAAATTAAAACTGACTTTTATGTGTTGTTTTGTGTTCGTGATTAATCTTGAATAAAATTATGTAATACTTTGTTTTAATCTGTGTTTAAGATGTATATCTACTTCATATAATTGTCTAGAATGATTCGGGACATAGTTCAGACCTCTAGGACCATTAACAATGGAGAACAGAGGGGTTGAAGGTCGCCGGAGACGAAGAAGACAGAGGATAGCAGGAGTAGAGGCGGCTCTACTCAAAGTAAAGGCGGTTATACTCTTAGGACTTCACATGTGCGTGGGTTTTGGCTACTGTATTTGGTTTTGGGGTATTTCAGGATTGTGTAGGTCAATTTAAGAGTTGTAAATGACTACGATGGACATAACAAATACTCAAGATGCATAATTTATAATAATATGCCATGAACTTGAACAATATGAAATTTAAATAAATTGCATATTGTAAACAGATGATTTAAATGCTTAATATTAATTTAGCAAGTTAAATGGATGTTGTATGATTTTTATCGTACATTAGTAGTATAATATATTCAGTTTATTGTCTGATTTTATTATACTTGGTTCTGGATTTAATTGATGTTTTATTTTACTTATTTCATCAATTATTGGATTATGTGGATGATTTAATTGCTTAAAACTATTCTAACAATTTAAATGGAGGTTATAAGATTTTAATCATATATTGGCTGCATAATATGATTATGTATATATCTGACTTCTATTATGTTTATTTCTGGATGTATTTAATGTTGATATTATAATTGTTGCATCATTTATGGATCACATGCATTATATGCACCAGTATGGAATGGTAGCATAATAGGGACGGATTAACTAAAAATGTTAAGTCTTACTTATTCATGTATAACGGAATAGATTAACTAAAATGTTAAATCTTACATATATTCATGTCAGGTCAACTGAATCAGTTGGATGACGTACCAGATATTTATTTTATGTTATAGATTAGGATGGATTATATATACATATAGTTATGAGCCATGATATGAGCTTGAGTCTCAGGATCATGATTAGGGTACGTATATTTCCAGGAATGTGTAGCTAGATATAGTATAGATGTATATCCTGATAGGTCTAGGTATTCATGTCCACTATATGTGCATTTTGCATGTTGCCTACTATTCAGGTTGAGACAACCCTATAATCTAATGAGGTTCCTTTAGTGTGTGTGTGTATATATATTTATGGACTACTTAGCCATTGTTCAGTTGACTATGGTGTATACGCGTATCAGGTCTCTGTTTGAATTGTAGTAGAGTAGAACTTGTTCGTGGGCCTGACCCACTATTATTTTTCAAGTGTTCGACAGTTCCAATCTTAAAGCTTGTTTGTGCCGAGCAGAAGCAGTCATTCACTCTTTCGACTACGTAGGATTTTTCTTCATGTTTTAGTTTTGGATTTTATTTCGGTTCAGTTATTTTTCAGTTGGGCTTTTATTAGGGGTCCACTAGATGGATTCCCAAGTTGTAATGGTATTGAAGGTTTTGGATATTTTATATTGGAGGATTATTTAATTAAGTAATTCAAGGATTTATTATTTAGTTTTCTTTCCACTTATTTATTTATTCTTATTTCTTTTTGTACTCAATGCTTGTTTAAACATTAATTGTTTGATATCCTTCAATTCTGTGCTCGGACTTGATCACCCGTGGCTTTACAATCGAGGGGTATCACAAAGCTACTAAGATCTTTCGTAGCAAAACGTTTCCCTAAATCTGGGATTAATTGAGTGAGATGCAAATCACTATTTTCGGTAAGTAAAATATCATACACATAAATGAGAAGAAATATGGTCACTTCTTCTGAATGATATGTTGTAATACCTCTAATTTTAAAATGATAGTCTCGGTATTTTTTTTATATAGTTTTCTTGCAATTTTAAATTCATTATGTGTTTATTTGACTATTTGATTAATTGGTTAATTGTTAAATTGCTTTCTTTGTGTTAATTAAATTATATGCTTATGTGGATGTTCATTAATTGTTTAAATTATTTTATTTGTTTAACTGGCATTTTTGTTTAATTGAAATTATAAGCTAGGTGACTTGAATTAAAATATTTAAAATTAATTATTTAAATTAAAGTGTTTAATTTTAGTAAGGATGGGATTGGATGGTGTGGATTAAATGGGTATGGTTAATACCCATGGATGTATATACGTGTATATATGGGTATATATGTATATGTTGATTAGTTTAATTATTATTAATTATTAATAATTGAATTTTAATTTTTAGTCATTATATAATGTAGAATACACTATTAGGGTTTTATGTTTTAAGGAATCATGTGGTTGAGATAACCGACTTATACATATATTTATTTTATATATATTTTTATTTTATTTCTTTTTATTTTCCGTCTCCTTTGTTAACTAGAATTAGGCTTGTATAGAAGCCTATAAATATAACATTATACGTCTGCATAGGGTTACAAACAAACCCTATTAATGAACAGAGAGTTTTGAGAGGAAAACAGAGAGAAAGAGCTAGGGGTTTTTGCCATAAACAAGGGCTGAACCAAGGAGGGGTATTTGAAGCTTGCTTGTCGGTTGAACCAGGAATAGTAGAGGAATTGAGAACCATCTTGGATTGCCGGAAAACTTAGGAAGACGACATTAAGGTTTCAAAACTGAAATCAGAGGCAAGTTCTATTTCTTACTCTTTTCCTTTGACTTGTGTTCTGTGCATGCCTAGGTAGTCTCCAGGAACTAAACGAACATTAAATTGATCTTATATGCATATTATTTCAGAGTTTAAATTATTTTACGAACTGTTAATTGAGTTTGATTTATAGTATCAATTGTTTTGTATCATGGTTTTTAATTTCTGTTAATGACGCATACTATGTTTTAAAATTTTCTGGGATAGTTTTGGGACATAGACGAACCTTTGGGAATCTACACAAGACCTTACAGAGTGTTTTTAATGTCATTGGAGATGAAGACGATGACAGGAAGCAGGGACAGAGCTGGCTCCTAAGGGGAAAGAGCCGGCTCTTGTGTTTTTTTAGCCGCGGCTCTCTGTGAGAGAGAGAGCCAGCTCCATGGAATTAGGGAGCTAACTCTCTAGGTCACAGAGCCGGCTCCTAAGGTGGGGGAGTCGGCTACCTTGTGTGGAAGCTTGCTCTCTCACTTTGAGAGCAAACTCTCGTGCATAGTAACTTACTGAAATATTTTTTAAAGCATGGGTTTGGTTTTTTGGGATTTCTGGACTGTTATGGGTTGATATTAAAGGTTCTAAATACTGTTTCATGTTGTATTAAAACTCCTTATTGCATAATTCTTATCTATATGCTAATGGATTTAACAGTAGGAAGGTTTAAACAATCTTATATGTTGTTAACGGATAAGGGATATAATTGCTCAAATTTTATTTTAGCAATTTAATGGACCGTGACATGATTTTTAAATCTGTGTTGGATGCATAATAGGGTCATATACTTATTAGATTTTATTATGTTTATCAGGAATTAATTGATATTTACATATTTTAATTTGTATTATCAATTATTGGATTTTGCGGAGTATTATCAAATAAGCATGTTAATTTATATATGTCTGTCATGCTTATTTTGGATCAGTTGATATTTACATTGATTCTCTGTGTTATCAATTGTTGAATGTATGGATTGTATGCACCGGTATGGGATGCTAGCATATTAGGGATGGATTAGTTTTAAAATGCTAAATCCTACCCATTCTGGAATAAGAAAATTGATTATAAAAATAAATCCTACTTATATTTAAGTCAGATCAGTTGCATAAAGTTGAGTGACTTACTGGATTACTTGTTATTTATATTTAACTCAGATCAGCTGCATAAAGTTGAGTGACTTCCTAGATTACTTGTTATTTATATTTAAGTCAAATCAGCTGCATAAAGTTGAGTGACTTACTGGATTACTCCACTTATATCTTATGTCAAATCAATGAACAATTGAATGACATACTCTGGTTTTGGACGGAATTTAAATATATGATTATGATACCACG